AGGCCGCGGAGCTGAAAGGAGCGTGGATGAAGCGATCGTTCGACGCGTATATGCTCATGGTGCAAGCGGTGGGCGGACGGCAACTTGACCACATCAAGGACCTCTTGGGTGATCCAGAGTGTGGCCCCAAGGCTTGGAGGAAGCTTTTGGATGTGCACTCACCGACACATGCTACCGGCCTCGTGCTACTCGCGCGGCGGCTGCGCGACATCAGGTTCGTTGATGGAGAGCCGATGCAACCGGTGTTGGATGAGATGCGCGACATCTTCACGAAGCTCCAAGGAGGCGGTGTGGTGTACCCGGAGCTCGTGCAATGCATGGAGATCGTGATACGGCTGCCGGAGTCATGGTCTGCCCTTGCGATCAACCTCAACTCCCAGCAACCCCAATGGAGCGTGGATTACATTCGCGCGCGCATCCTAGAGGAGGACTTGCGGCGGCGGAGTGTGGAGCGCTCGGAGGAGGGGGCTGGCTATGGAGTTGGAGGTGGAAAAAGTGGCTTCAAGAAGAAGTGGAAGGGCAAGAACAAGGATAACCCTAAGGAGGATGGCGGCGGGGGTCAAGGGGAGGTGTGCTTCTACTGCAAGAAGCGCGGACATCGTTGGCGGAAGTGCTACCAACGACCCAAGGATTGGACCCCGCCTTCATCAAGCAACCAGCGTGGTGGCACGAGGAGTGGGGGAGTCATGGGAGCTAGTGGAGAGGAGAAGGATGAGGAGAAAGGCGGCAAATCTGAGGAGCGGAAGGCCGGGTTCTTCTTCTTCGTGAACGAAGGCGCAACTGACCACGCTATGGCTGCCAAGGTTCTCCTACACCCCCTCACCCATTGGGTGATTAACTCCGGGAGCTCTTGGCACATGACTCCCCGTGCGGACCTACTTGATGAGATTCAGCCCGCACCCATCCCTACAGTCACATCCGCGACGGGCGCCAAGGCCAAGGTCATGGGCATGGGATGCGCCAAGTTCATGGGAGCGGATGGAGAGCTCGTGGGGCTGAAGAACGTGCTGTGGGTGCCGGACTTGTGCGCGAACCTGATATCTACCGGCCGGTTGGGAGATGCGGGTGTGAACACCGAGACGATTGGCTCGGAGCGCTATCGTGCCTACAACGATGAGCGGCTGATTTGGGACCTGCAGTGGAAAGGGGATGTCCACAAGCGGATGTGGCAGATCCCGGTCCTTCCTTGGCGGAAATCGGGCAAGGCGGCAATGGCGGCATCTATGGAGGAGAGCGTTACCGAGGAGGAGCAGCAAGGTGTGCAAGGAGAGGAGCTGATTGGAGGAAGCGCGGCGGTGAAGGCGTCGGCTACCTCGGGCCAAGCGGATTGGGAGACTTGGCATCGGCGGCTCGCACACGTGGCTGTTTCTACATTGGAGGTGATGCACAAGGAGACGTGCGTGCATGGGCTGCAATTGCAAGGAAATGGCACTCACTATGGCAGCTGCGAGACGTGCATGCAAAACAAGTTTGCGCGGTTCCCGTTCCCACGAGCGAAGGTGGCTGAAGGTGCATCAGTCACACTACATCTCTGGTGTCATGGAGCGGTATGGTGTGACTGGGGGTCGCACTGTGATGACACCGTTCCCTGCAGGCTTCAAATTGAAGAAGGCAGCAGAGGAGGATGATGTGCTTGAGGATGAGCAGCAGAATGAGTACTAGTCACTCATTGGGAGTGTGATGTATGCAGTTGTGCATACGCGACCTGATGCTTCATTCGGAGTGGGGCAGCTGGCCAGAGTTGTGCAACGGCCCACTGTGGAGCAGTTGGAGGTGGCAAAGCGCTTGGTGCGCTACCTTGGATCAACGGCATTTGCTGGTGTTCAGGTTTCAGCTGGCGGCCAGCTGAAACAGATTGGAGCAGATGGGGTCACCCCTGGTACCTTGAAGCTGTCGTGCTTCACCGACGCCACATGGGCCTCAGAGGATGAGGATCAGTCATCGGTTGGCGGCTTTGTGTGCATGGTCGGAGGTGGACCAGTGAGCTGGAGGTCCAAGAAGTAGAGTGAGATTGCTCAGTCTTCCGGAGAGGCAGAGTACATGGCGATGTACCATGCCATCAAGGAGATCGTGCTCCTGAGGAAGCTGCTGCAGGACATGGGAGCTGAACAGGAGGGACCTACACCACTTTTCTCCGACAGCGAGGCTGCTATTGGCATGGCCAATAATCCTATCCTGAATGGGCTGAACAAGCACATGAAGATTAAGTGGCACTGGGTGAGGCAGATGGTGAAGGAGGGAGCTGTTGAGCTTCACCATGTGAAGGCTAACAAGCAAGCGGCAGATTTTCTCACAAAGAGACTTCCCGAGAGCGCACATTGGAAGTGTGCTAAGATGTGCGGCATGGCATTGCACTAGTGTGGGCAGCAGTATCATAAATGCATGTGTGATTGTGTGCATGAGACTATGCATGTGTGTGGGTGTGTGTGCATGCAGTCCGTTAGTCTGAGGGGGAGTTTGTTGAATGCACGTCATTCTGAGTGCATGTCATCCTAACGTCCCGCCGAGTGCTCGTGCTATTTGTGCTTGCATGATTTGCATGAGCGTATGCCATTGTGCATGGCTGTTGGATATTGTCATCTCTGTGTTTTTTCTCCAAGTCTAACTGCTTGATCATGCAGGAGAAATCCAGAGCTTTCCAACGATACCAAGATCGCCTTATTCCGACCAAGATCGCCCAAGTTACAAGATTTCCAAGATTTGGATTTCTTATTACCTTTTTGGGGTTATATCTAATTTGGGTGATTACTTGGGACATGACTATAAAGGGATCTTTAGTTGGGTGGTTAGGAAGCCAACTTTGACTTTTGGATTGGGGTGGCTAGAAGTTTCTAGCATGGGTTGCAAATGTTGCAACACCTAGGCAAAATCCAACTAGATTGGATTTTGCATGTGACACCTCAAGGACCTTATTATGAGGGTTGCATCCTTGCTGCTAGGAAGGTTCTTACCATCCTTCCCTAGCTCTTGGAGAACCCCTTCCCTCTCATGGTTCTCTTGGAGGTTCCCAACTCCAACTTTCTATGCCCTAATGTTTGTACTTCCTCCACCATTCTAGTCATGCGGCTGCTGGACGTTTTTACTTGGTTCTCACTCTCTAGACCATCTTAACGACTGATTCAACTTGGAGATGGTAGTTAAGCCTAAGACGCAACTTCCTACCAAGCGGATTTGCGTTTAGTTGAGTAATGATTTCGTCGTAAGCTCTCAAAGTGACGGATCCTGAACAACACTCGGCTTGCCCACTTTTTCACACTCAGTTTGCCCGCTTTCTCACACTCGGTTTGCCCGCTTTCTCACACTCGGTTTGCCCGCTTTTTCACACTCGGTTTGCCCGCTTTCTCACGCTCAGTTTGCCCACTTTCTCACACTCAGTTTGCCCGCTTTCTCACACTCAGTTTGCCCACTTTTTCACACTCAGTTTGCCCGCTTTCTCACACTCAGTTTGCCCGCTTTCTCACACTTGGTTTGCCCGCTTTTTCACACTCGGTTTGCCCGCTTTCTCACACTCGGCTTGCCCGCTTTCTCACACTTGGCTTGCCCGCCTTCTCACACTCTGCTTGCCCGCCTTCTCACACTCGGCTTGCCCACTTTTTCACACTCAGTTTGCCCGCTTTCTCACACTTGGTTTGCCCGCTTTCTCACACTCGGTTTGCCCGCTTTTTCACACTCGGTTTGCCCGCTTTCTCACACTCGGCTTGCCCGCCTTCTCACACTTGGCTTGCCCACTTTCTCACACTCGGCTTGCCCGCCTTTTCACACTCGTTTTGCCCACTTTCTCACACTCGGTTTGCCCGCTTTCTCACACTCGATTTGCCCACTTTCTCACACTCAGTTTGCCCACTTTCTCACACTCAGTTTGCCCGCTTTCTCACACTCAGTTTGCCCGCTTTTTCACATTTAGTTCGCCCGCTTTCTCACACTCTGTTTGCCCGCTTTCTCACACTTGGTTTGCCCACTTTTTCACACTTGGTTTGCCCGCTTTCTCACCCTCGGCTTGCCCGCCTTCTCACACTCGGCTTGCCCGCTTTCTCACACTCGGCTTGCCTGCTTTCTCACACTCGGCTTGCCCGCCTTCTCACACTCTGCTTGCCCGCCTTCTCACACTCGGCTTGCCCACTTTTTCACACTCAGTTTGCCCGCTTTCTCACACTCGGTTTGCCCGCTTTCTCACCCTCGGCTTGCCCTCCTTCTCACACTCGGCTTGCCCGCTTTCTCACACTCGGCTTGCTTGCTTTCTCACACTCTGCTTGCCCGCCTTCTCACACTCTGCTTGCCCGCCTTCTCACACTCGGCTTGCCCACTTTTTCACACTCAGTTTGCCCGCTTTCTCACACTCGCTTTGCCCGCTTTCTCACACTCGGCTTGCCCGCCTTCTCACACTCGGCTTGCCTGCTTTCTCACACTCGGCTTGCCCGCCTTCTCACACTCTGTTTGCCCGCCTTCTCACACTCGGCTTGCCGGCTTTTTCACACTCAGTTTGCCCGCTTTTTCACACTCGGCTTGCCCGCTTTTCCACACTCTGTTTGCCCGCTTTCTTACTTTTGGTTTGCCCACTTTCTCACACTCAGTTTGCCCGCTTTCTCACACTCAGTTTGCCTGCTTTTTCACACTGAGTTTGCCCGCTTTCTCACAGTCAGTTTGCCCGCTTTCTCACACTCGGTTTGCCCGCTTTTTCACAATTGGTTTGCCCGCTTTCTCACACTCGGCTTGCCCGCCTTCTCCGACTCGGCTTGCCCGCTTTCTCACACTCGGCTTGCCCGCTTTCTCGCACTTGGCTTGCCTGCCTTCTCACACTCGACTTGCCCGCCTTCTGACACTCAGCTTGCCCACTTTTTCACACTCAGTTTGCTCGCTTTCTCACACTCAGTTTGCCCGCTTTCTCACACTCAGTTTGCCCGCTTTTTCACACTCGGTTTGCCCGCTTTCTCACACTCGGCTTGCGCGCCTCCTCACACTCGGCTTGCCCGCTTTCTCACACTCGGCTTGCCCGCTTTCTCATGCTCGGCTTGCTCGCCTTCTCACACTCGGCTTGCCCGCTTTCTCACACTCGGCTTGCTTACTTTCTCACACTCGGCTTGCCCGCCTTCTCACACCCGGCTTGCCCGCCTTCTCACACTCGGTTTGCCCGCTTTCTCACACTCTGCTTGCCCGCTTTCTATCATTCGGCTTGCCCACTTCTCACACTCGGCTTGCCCGCCTTCTCACACTCTGCTTGCCCGCCTTCTCACATTTGGCTTGCCCGCTTTCTCACACTCCGCTTGCCCGCTTTCTCACATTCGGCTTGCCAGCCTTCTCACACACGGCGGCCCGCCGAAGTCCATTCGAGCCCGCCCCCTACCCTCTCTTCTCTTTTCTTCCGTTCTCTTCCCTATCCTTCTCTTTCGTCCCTTCCCTTCGCATCCTATCCTTTTAATTCCGTTTCATTGCTTTTCCCCCCTTCTATTGCCCCTCCCTTCCCATATTCCCTTCCCTTTCCAACAGTTTCATTCCGCTACCCTCCTTTCCCTCCTCTTCCCTTCCCTCCATTCCATTCTTGTCCCTCCCTTTCCATTTCCGTCCCTCTCCTTTCCCTTCACAACAATTTACCCTTCTTTCTTGCCTTCAATCTCCCCCTCGCCCATCAGTTTCCCCCCTCCTTGCCCTCAGTTTCCCCCCTCCTTTCCTTCAATTTCCCCCCTCCTTGCCCTCAGTTTCCCCCCTCCTTGACCCTCAGTTTCCCCCCGCCTTGCCCTCAGTTTCTCCACCCCCCCTCTTGGCCCTCAGATTCCCACCTCCTTGTCCTGAATTTCCCCCCTCCTTGCCCTTAGTTTCCCTCCCCCCCCCCCCCTTGCCCTCAGTTTCCCCTCTCCTTGCCCTTAGTTTCCCCTCTCCTTGCCCTCAGTTTCCCTCCCCTCCCCTTGCCCTTCAGTTTCCTCCCTCCTTGCCCTCGGTTTCCCCTCCCCTTGCCCTCATTTTCCACCCTTCTTGGCCTCAGCTCCCCCCCTCCTTGCCCTCAGTTTCAACTCTCCTTGCCCTCAATTTCTACCCTCCTTTCCCTCAGTTTCTCCCCTACTTGCCCTCAGTTTCCCCCCTTGCCTCGTTCCACTACTGTTTTCCTGTGCTTCCACATGATTCCCATCATTTTCCACCAATTCTAACCCTGTCTTCTCCCCCCTGCTTGGGCTTGTTCCGTCTTGCTCGCCCTCGTTCCAACCACCCCCGTTCCGACTGTTTTCCCACTCTTTCTCTCGTCCTTGTTCCCTTAAATCTCTCACCCCTTGTGAAGGGTAGGGAAGGGAAGATTCTCCTTCCCTCCTCTTGTTCACCCCTCCTTTCTCCCTTGTTCCCTTTCTCTTTCACCCCTTATGAAGGGTAGGTGCTTACAGACTGTAACCTACCCCCCTTGCTTGCCTGCTTACACTCTGTCTGTTCACCTCTCCATAGCAAGGCAATCCGGAGAGCACAACTGGAAGGACATCCCTCTCCTTGAGTGCTGCCCTTGGCAACATGTTGGAACCAAAGACCAGTCATTTTTTTATTAAAGCTTGTGTGTGCTGGTGCCCCGAGTGTACCTATTGTATCAATCCATCCACCAGCATTTTAGACTGGGTAATTATTGAGAAGAAACGAGAATGAATGAACTATGGATGAACTGGGTACAAGTACTAACCCTAATTGGGTTGTACCCCTTATGGGCTAACCCACTATAGCCTACACAATATGCACAAGCTATATGTTCTGACACACCCCCATAGGCAAAGTGGGGGAGAACAAGGGGTCATAATACCAGTCAAGCAAAGCAAAGCAAGCTCAGGGTGGATCACAAAGTCACCACACATTCCGAGCACAAGTTCAAGGCCACAAGGCTAGTTCACATGCAGGAGTACATATATATAAAAGGCTAGACAAGCAAGAGCAAGAGTATATACATGCAACAGTACAAGCAACGTCAAGAGGTGAGCAAGTGAGGCAAGACAGGCACAAGACCCAGCTGAGTGCAGAAGCGCTAATGATCACAAGGCGCAAGTGCCTTAGTGAAGACATCAGCAGTGTTGGCCTCAGAGGCCACGTACGCAAGCCGCAGCTGTCCACGCTGCTGAAGCTCAGAAGCAAGGAAGTAGCGAAGAGCAATGTGCTTTGTTCAGTGCTCCAGTCTCTGCTCTCAACACAAGGCCAGCATGGCCTTGTTGTCTACGTACAGGACTGGAGGAGAACGAGGCGGCTCTCCAAGGTCGGTCAGCAGGTAGCTGAGCAAGCGAAGCTCCTGTGCGGCCATGGCCCCGACGTAGATCTCAGCCTCACAACTCGAGCCGGGAACAGAAGACGAGCGAGTAGCCCGCCACGAAATAGAGCCGGAGCCAAGGCTGAAGGTGTAACCCTCTGACGACCGCTGCGTAGCCTGGTCGTCAGCCCAAGAAGCGTCCACGTGCCCAGTGAGGACCACTGGACTCTGCCCTCCAAGCACTAGCCCCATGCCCGACGTACTGCACAAGTAGCGCAACACCCTCTTCGCTGCAGCCATGTGCTCTGGTCGGTGTCTCCCAGGAGCAACATAGCGTGCAAGAATGCTAAGAGGGTATGCAAGGTCAGGTCGTGTGCACGTCATCAGGTACATGAGGCAGCCAACAAGCTCTGGATACGGGCCACTCGACTCTACGGACTCATCCGAAGGCAGAGCTGAGAGTGAGTGGCGAGTAGGAAGAGGAGTGGCCTGAGGCGAGGAGCACGTGAAGCCGAAGCGCTGAAGGACCTGCTGCACCATGTGTGACTGAGTCAAGGTAATGGTGCGGCGTGCTCTGTCCCGGGTGATCCGCAAGCCAAGGTAGCTGCGCAGTTCACCCAGGTCAGTGCACGTGTGTCTCTTCTGCAGCTTGGACTTCACATGGGCGAGTCCAGCAGTGTCAGCAGTGGCAAAGACCAAGTCGTCGACGTACACGAGGATGTAGAACGGCGGCAGAGAGGTGTCGGTGCGCAAAAACAGCGACGGGTCGGCAGTAGAAGGACCAAACCCAAGAGCCGCAAGCGTAGTCCTCAATGTGTCGTGCCACTCATGTGGCGCCTGGCGGAGACCGTAGACTGGACGCCGGAGACTCCACTAGGTACTAGGAGGGAAAGACCCAGTGAAGCCTGGTGGGAGGCGCAGCCAGATCTCCTCGTGCAGGCTGCCCTGCAAAAAAGCTGTGCTAAAGTCAAGAGAGTGCAGCTCGTAGTCACGGTGAGCAGCAACGTGCAGCAGAACTTGAAGAGTGGTCATCTTCAGGGTGGGGGAGAAGGTCTGAAAGTAGTCAACTCCCTGCCGCTGACTGAAGCCACGAGCCACGTAACGCGCCTTGAAGACAGGCGGAGAACCCGGCGGCCGCTTCACCCTGAAGATCCACATGCCACTGACGATGTTCGCCCCAGGGGGGGGGACAGCATCAACGTAGGTGCCTGTGGACTTCTAGGAAGCCATCTCTGCATCCATAGCTGCCTGCCACTGAGAGGAGTAGGGACCCTCTATCGCCTCCGCGTAAGAGCGCGGAGTCGGGATGTCAAGTGCATCCGGGTCTCCCTCAGGGGTAAGCAGTACGGACACGAGATGAGCTGAAGCAGCTGCCAGACACTAGAACTCCTCCTGCCTGTCCTCAAGGACGTCCGTGCCAAGAGCACACTCACCCCCGACGGACGGAGGACAGACAGACTCAGACTCAGCGACAAGACAAGCCACGTAGTCTAGGCGACAGCGAGCAGCAAAGTGGACGAGCGCAGCAGCTAGGGCAGACGCAGCAGTGGACTCAAAAGAAGGGTCAGTGACGACAGTAGCAAGGAGACGCGTGACAGTAGGACAGGTGGCAGGAAGAGAGTCCGACTCCGGGTCGGTAAGAGTAGGAAGAGAGGACTCAGGAGGAGAAGGCAAAGGGGCACGCAGAGGAGCAGTGGAGGGACGCAAAGACATCCGGTGCGTGACAGGGACAGGAGGAGGACGCTGACGCGAACCACGACCACTAGTGAGAGCAGCACCGATAGGCGACGCAGGGCGGGAAGCAGGCTCACGACGCTCAGTAAGACCTCCAGTAGGACCAGCGTAGGGAGAAGGAGCAGGCAAAGGGGAGGTATGCTGCAACTGTAACTGTGACAGGACAGGCTGTGGACACTCTAAGGGAGGAGGAGGACCAGTAGAAGGTGGAAGACCAAGAACCTGCTGGAGGAGCGGAACAAAGTACGGGCGCGGCCGCGTGGCGACGCCAGAAGCAGCAGCGACAGCACCAGCACCCTCAGCAGGAGCACTCGCTCCAGCAGCACCTCCAGCAGCTCCAGAACCTCCAACAGCACCAGGAGCACCCCCAGCAGGACGGCCAGCGGGAGTCGTAGCGCCAACATCCTCAGTAGGACTAGCTCCATTCGAACCCGCAGGCCCAGCAGCTCCAGTACTCCGTGTACGAGCACCCCCGGGACCCGCGACCGTAGAACCCTCAGTAGCTGAAGAACCTCAAGCACCAGTAGTACGGCGCTAGTGCCGGGCAAACCACTCGCACAGCTCCTATAGAGAGAGCGGCTCCCGGCCAGACGAAGCACCCGGAGAACCTCCAGTTGGAGCACCTCCAGGCGGAGCACCTCCAGGCTCAGCACCCCCAGGTGTAACACGCCCAGGCTCAGCACCCCCAGGCGTAGCACCTCACGGCTCAGCACCCCCAGATGTAGCACCTCCAGGCTCAGCACCCCCAGGCGTAGCACCCTCCGGCTCAGCACCCCCAGACGTAGCACCCCCAGGCTCAGCACCCCCAAGCTCAGCACCCCTAGGCTCCGCACCCCCAGGTCCAGCACCCCCAGACTCAGTACCCCCAGGCTCAGCACCCTCAGCAGCACCACAGTCATTAGTGACCTTGACAGGCTCGACTGCGTCTACCTGGGACACACCTGAAGGGGCGGGACCCTGAGGGGGGAGGGAGTCTACCTGGGGGGGACCTAGTACAAGGAAGAGCGGGGGTGGGGGGAGGGACGGAGTGCGGTAGGGGAAGAGGCGGTAGTAGGGGATCGACTCGTCAAAGGTGACGTCCTGGGAGGACAGAACATGTTGAGAGGTGGGGTGGTAGAACTGCCACCCAGGCGCGTCAGGGGGAAACCCCACGAAGACGCAAGGAGCAGCACGAGGGGACAGCTTGTCCGCAGACAAGACGCGGACAAACGCCCGAAATCCCCAGACTCGGAACGCCGACGCATCGCCAACCTTCCCCGTCCACAGCAAGGCTGGGGAGGTCTCCGGCCTGGAGACCCTGGGGTGGAGGTTGATCCGATGCGCCGCGTACCTCACCGCAAACGGCCACAGAAAATGGGGGGCAGCCGCATGCATCATAGACGTACGAGCGACGTCCATGACCATGCCAATGCGGCGCTCAGCAATCCCATTTTGCTGCGGGGAGTCCGGAAGCGTGAAGGTCTGACAGATGCCACGTGCGCGACAGTAGGCTCTCAGAAGGTCAGAGGAAAACTCTCCACTGTCAAACATTATATATGTTCTGCTTGTGTAGGCTACAGTGGGTTAGCCTATAGGGGGTACACAATTCTAGGGTTTCCTACTTGTACTCATTTCACTGCTAGTTCATTCATTCCTGTTCGCTTATTCTCTCATGGTATCGAGCAGGTTCCCCTGTGGGAACTGTTCGTAGGGCCCACCACCGCTACCTCTTAACCTTTTTTTTCCTGCCCGGAGCGCGCTCCGGGCCCTAGTACCTCTTTTTTTCGATCTGCCCTAGTGCTCTGAAGGCCGCCCGCCCTAGCGCCCGAGCGCCGCCGCCCTTGCGCCCTGACGGCCGCCCGCCCTAGTGCCCTGACGGCCGCCCGCTCTAGCGCCCGAACGCCGCCCGCCCTAGCGCCCTGACGGCCGCCCGCCCTAGCGCCCTGACGGCCGCCCGCCCTAGCGCCTGAGCGCCGCCCGCCCTAGCGCCCGAGCGCCGCCCGCCCTAGCGCCCTGACGGCCGCCCGCCCTAGCGCCCGAGCGCCGCCCGCCCTAGCGCCCGAGCGCCGCCCGCCCTAGCGCCCTGACGGCCGCCCGCCCTAGCGCCCGTGCGCCGCTCGCCCTAGCGCCCGAGTGCCGCCCGCCCTTGCGCCCTTACGGCCGCCCGCCCTGACGCCTGAGCGCAGCCCGCCCTAGCGCCCTGACGGCCGCCCGCTCTGACGCCTGAGCGCCGCCCGTCGTCGCCCCAGCGCCCTAGCGCCCGACGCCCGCGAGCCGCCCGTCGCAGCCGCCCGTAAGCTGCCTGTACGCCGCCCGCCGAGCCGCCCGTGCACCCGCCCAGCGTGAGCCGCCCACGACCGCCCAGGCTGCCGTCCCCTTCTACCGGCCCCGCAACTGCACCTGCTGGCCCCGCCGCTGCACCTACCGGCCCCCACCACCCA